GAAAATTCTAATGTCGAGCTAATTGAGTACTCTTCCGATATTGTCTGACACCTCTGCTCTATATGGAATGAGAACTGTTGATGTCCATTTTTTCGGAATACGTTTTCGACCATAGTTAATGTCAGTGTTGATTTTGTTGATGAAGTTCTTCGGGTAGTTATTTTGCTTGAGAGTCTCAGTAATGTTTGATATTTCTTCTTCTTCTTTTCTCTTTCTCATCCGTTAACATCAAAGAGTGTGCTCGTCTAAGAAGAGTTGAGACAACTGGTACCTTAGCACTGAATGGGTGTGATGATCCGAAGTTTAAATATTTGTTGGAGTGGGTTTTCTTCCTGAATATGGATATACTAAAATGTCCATTTCCCTCATTTTAACTAGACAGCCAGTCTAGAAACGGTAGTTCACAGAGGTTTGATTGTGCTTCCGAAGTAAACTGAATGCTTGGAAATAGGCTGTTCAGTTTCTGAAAGAATCAACTGTCTAGATCTCCTTTTAGCACTACAAAAGTATCACCTACATATCTTAACCTTATTTTATTCGTGAGTATGCTTGAAAAGATGTTATCCTGGAATCTATTCATAAAAAGATCAGCGACTATTGGGGAAACTAGTGAACGCATGAACTTACAGGAAATCTAAAACAGGGTCAAAAAAGTTTCCATTGCTTCTCACTTTTCACTAATCTCCTCTGATTAGTTTCCAATCTACTCTATCAAAATGCTATCTAGTGAGTAGAAACAGGCAGTTTTTTGTCACTATTAAATACAATCCCGTTAAATAAATAAATCTTCGTAAAAGAAGCATGAAATGTTTCATTAGATGTGTTCATCAAGTTCAGCACTTAATCTACAAATACTTCGATCAGTCATTAATTATCCGATTTAAATTGATTTATACGTATGAAATAGTTATAGTGGGACTGAATGTGTGTGATCAATGGCCAGTATTCATGATGCGTATTTACTATGGTTCTGAATTATTGTTATTATTATTATTATATTTTTGGTTTTTCTAATCGAAAAAGACTTGAACTGTCAACGATAAATCAAAATTCCTGGAAATTTATGGTTCCAATAATTTCTGGTAACTACACTCAACAGTTATTGATAGAAATCCTTTCTTGCTGATTGCTGGAGTATGTTAGTGATGCGCGTGACCAACAGCTATGCTATCTTCCATATTAGTTTGTTTATTAGATGTATCACACACAGAATGAAACTGTATTATTATTTACTGGATGACACAGTTTTGAGCACAGTCAATTATTGTACATAATCACACAAATCAATTATAATCTCACAACTTCGAAACTTGAATTTTATAGTTTTCTCTATTCTCTCCCAGTTGTCGTCGTAGAGGAAGTAGAATTTTCTAGATGTCCAGGTGGGTGGACAGACACTTATTTGCAGTTGATTCCGCTATCAATCTCTCCCCCTCTGTAATACTCTGTGTGGAGTGATTGTCAGGTCGAATACATAGGTCAAAGTAGCAGAACAGGGGCAGTCAGACTAGCCGATCATAAGAACCTAGCAAAATCTAGATTAGTTGACCCGTTTAAGATAAAAACTTCAGAGAATATTTCAGCTATAGCACTCACTACATGCAATTACACACAACCATACAATAGGATGGGATGGGATAAGATGACAGTTGTAAAATCTAATTTAGCAACAGGGTGAAGGGAGAGATTGATAACAGAAGCTTTGTTTATC